CAGGCTAGGTCTCCCTAACAGCTATCTCAGCACTGACTGAGTGGTTAAGTAAAATTTTAAAAGCTGAGAGAGCCAATGCTGGAATGTAACAGAAGCCCACCCAGAGTTTTGTCTAGGTCTTTCCTGGGCCTTGAAGTGGTGCATGGAGCTCCTGGTCTACAGTTAACATATCCCCAGTGCCTGTTATGATACTGGAAGCAAGCATAGCAGGTCCTCAGAAAAAGTAGGTAAGATTGAATTAAGTTATTGATACAGTTTGGTTGTGTCCCCACCCAAATCTCATCTTGAATTGTAGCTCCCATAATTCCCACATGTTGTGGGAGGGAGGGACCCGGTGGGAGGTCACTGAATCACGGAGGCAGTTTCTCTCCTACTGTTCTTGTGGTAGTGAATAAGTCTCACAAGATCTGATGGTTTCACAGGCAAGGGGTTTCCCCTCTTGCCTGGCTTGCGTTCTCTGTCTTGCCTGCTGCTGTGAAAGACGTGACGTTGCTCTTCCCTTGCCTTCTGCTGTGATTGTGAGGCCTCCCCAGCCACGTGGAACTGTGAGTCCATTAAACCTCTTTTTCTTTATAAATTACCCAGTTTTGGGTATAAATTTACCCGCATCATGAGAACAGACCAGTACAGTTATTTTCCACTGCCCTCTCCCCTGTGTTAGTTTCCAATGACTGCTATAACTAGTTACTTCAAACTTAGTGGCTAGAAATAATAGAAGCTTATTGTCTTCCAGTTCTGGAGGCCAGAAGGTTCAAAATCAAATTTCACTGCGTCAAAATCTAGGTGTCCATAGGGCTGTGCTCCCTCTGGGGCTTCAGGGGAGAATCTCTTCTTTACCTTTTCTAGCTTTGGTGGCTTCTGGAGTTCTATGGCTTATGACAGCATCATTCCCATCTCTGCCTCTGTCTTCATATGATCTTCTCCTCTGTGTGTCTCTCTGCATCCTCTCCTCTTTTTATAAGGACATAAGCCGTTGGATTTAGGCCCACCCTGAATCCAGGATTTTATCTCAAAATTGTTAACTTATTAGGTCTTCAAAGACCCTATTTCCAAATAAGGTCACATGCCAGAGTTCAGGGTAGATACCAATTTTGAGGAGACATAATTCAGCCCCATCACACTCCCCTCTTACTCAAAGTGACAGGATTCTCGGGTCAGTTCTGGGGCTCAGTGGAAGGTTGGGATCAAAGGCACTCCAGGAATGATCCAGAAAGAGGCACTGAAAAGCTAAACTAAGAAGCAGAGGAGGGAAAAGAAGCAAGGGTTGGATAAGAAGTACTGCAGAGCCAGGTGCAGTGGCCCACGCCTGTAATTCCAGCACTTTGGGAGGCCGAAGCAGGTGATCGTGAGGTCAGGAGTTTGAGACAAGCCTGACCAATATGGTGAAACCCCATCTCTACTAAATATACAAAAATTAGCCAGCCATGATGGCGGGTGCCTGTAATCCCAGCTTCTTGGGAGGCTGAGGCAGGAGAATCGCTTGAACCTGGTAGGTGAAGGTTGCAGTGAGCCAAGATCGTGCCACTGCACTCCAGCCTGGGCGACAGGGCAAGACTGTCTCAAAAAAATAAAAAGAAGCACTGTAGAGAAGGAAGTAAAAAATGACCCTTAGCTTCTAAACCTGAATTACGAGAAAATGGAGAAGGGATCATCTGTGCTGTAATGGAAAACTCTGCACTTTCAAGGGCATTCCTTCCTGGTTATTTGATTTTATAGTAGTTATTTTACAACTGTGTAAGTTGCAAATAACCAATGTCAACAGAAGTAATTCTGATTCACAGATAGGTAAATGAATTATGTCCACAGAGGAAAAGCTTCTCCCCATCACCATGAAAAAATCAGTTTTGTATCTGTTTATACATTCATTTCAACCTTCCTTTCCTTCTTATAATTCTGTGTTTCTTTGGCTTTTCCTTTGAACTGTTTATTGCTTGTTTTCCTCATTTAATTCATGGGTTAAATAAAATCTTTAACATGCATATTAGTTTGCTGAGGCTGTGGTAACAAATTACTAAAAGGCGGTGGCCTAAGACAATAGAAATGTATTATATTGCAGTTTTGGAGGATAAAATTGAGGCTCTGCAGATACCAGGTCTGAAAGAGGCACTGTAAAGCTAACCTAGGAGAGAAGCAGAGGAGGGAAAAGAAGCAAAGGGGTGAGAATCACTGAAGAGCTCTGAAGGCTCTCTCTAACGACTCTACAGAGCCTCCTTCCTTGCCTCTTCCTGGATTCTTGAGGTTACCAGCAATTTTTGGCTTGTAGACACACCTCTCTCATTTCTACCTTCACCTTCACATGGCATTCTATGTGTCTGTCTCCAAAAGGATATTGGAATCCAAGGCCTACCATCATCTGGTAAGACCTCACCTTATAATTTGATGACAGCTACAACAACCCTATCTCCAAATAAGGTCACATTCACAGGTTACAGGTGGATACAAATTTGGAGGAGACTACTCTTCAAGCCAGTACATACATGTTTACTTTATATCAGAATGGGAGTCATGATTTTACTTGTTTGGAAAATTTTCCTATAACAATGGTGATGCCATTAAAAGCAAAATCAGCAAGAGATGACGGGTTTGTGTGGGAGAGGCAAAAGAGAAGGTGTTTAGAGTTGGACATGTTGAACTGGCCTAATCTCAAGTGGTGTTGGAGGTCCGAGAAGGAAGAACTAGGTGTAGAGGAAGAGGGACCTCAGTTCCATCCAGTGTGCTCATTTTATAGGTGGGAAAACTGAGGCCCAGAGAGGGGTAACTCTCCCAAAGGCACAGAGAGGGAAATGGAAAAAGCAGACTGCAACCCAGACTGTTGACTTCCAGCCAGGATGTGCACACTGGTTAGAAGGGTTTTCAATAGTTTCAGCATTTGGATGGAACTTTCACATTTTCCATGGACAGCTTCTCACATATAACATTCTTTACATTTCCATGTGTGCACATGCATACATATATATACAAGAACAATTTCTGCCCACACAGAGTCACAAAGTGTCATTGTAGAAGCTCTCATTAGAAAGCTGATTCCTTTTTTTTTTTTAAATTTGAGATGGAGTCTCCCTCTGTTGCCTAGGCTGGAGTGCAGTGATGCTCTCGGCTCACTGCAACCTCCGCCTCCGGGGTTCAAGCTGTTCTCCCACCTCAGCCTCCCGAGTAGCTGGGACTACAGGTGACTGCTACCATGCCTGGCTAGAAAGCTGACTCTGAATCAAAATTCAAACATAGATAATTAGCTTACATTACCTCCCTGATTACACCATTGTGAAATCTTTGGGCCACAAGGAAATGTCTAAACTGTAAACAACTCTATTGCTATTAGTACAATAAAATAGTTTTTGAGACAAGGATTTTAGTACTTGATAATGGTACAGGTACAGAGGATCTCTAAATTCTTAGAATTTACAAAAGAAAAAGAAATTGTGAAAATGGAAAGTATTACAGTCTCAAGTGGCACTTTTTTTCTTAATTATTGTACTGCCACGACAGGCCTGGAAATACCATAATCAAGCATCATTTTCTTGTCTAACCCCACAGTAATATTCCAGCTCCCAAGAGTTTATATTATAACCAAGTCATAAAATGTGGCATGATTTCAGCTTTCTTTTACTCTATGCCCCTGTATGCATTAGTCACATAGTGATATTTCTTAACCAGAGAGGGACTTGAGAAAATGTTCTTATTTGTTTCACAAATTTTCTCAGAACTTTGGTGCTTCAGAGAGAGATGTCTCCTATTCTGCATGTACAGTCAAATTTCTACCAGGATGATGTTTTTACTCAAATGTTGATAAACACTTTGGGAATACATATAAACATAATATCCATGAAATGTTTTATATTTCCAGTCTTCCTATGATGTTATCTCATTTGATTGTCAAAACCGCTCACTGAGCTATTCTTGTCCCCATTTCAGAGATGAGAAAACTGAAGTTTGGAGAAAGTTGATTGAATTGTCCAATTAATGCCATACTGTAAAAGCAGCTGAAGTGGTACCCCAATACCAAGCCTCCTCCTCTTTCCCATGCCCCAGGTCACTCTCCACCACCTTAAACAAGGCCAAAAACTTGTTCTGTAATGAGCACGTACTGTCTGAAAATGAAAGGGTTTCTTTGTTTTTGAGATGGAGTTTTGCTCTTGTCGCCCAGATTGGAGTACGATGGCGCAATATCGGTTCACTGTAACCTCCACCTCCCAGGTTCAAGCAATTCTCCTGCCTCAGCCTCCTCAGTAGCTGGGACTACAGGCATGCACCACCATGCCTGGTATATTTTTGTATTTTTAGTAGAGACCTGGTTTTGTCATGTTGACCGGGCTGGTCTTGAACTCCTGACTTTGGATAATCCACCTACCTCGGCCTCCCAAAGTGCTGGGATTATAGGCGTGAACCACCGTGCTCGTGCTCGGCAAGAGGGGGGTTGTTTTAATAACACATTAGTGAGATGACATATTTGGAGTTGTTTGAAGAGCAAGCAAGATCTGTTGAGAGAAAATGATAATGCCATAATGGCACACAGTAGGTACACAATAAAAAGTACCACATGCATTAAAGTCACTACAAAAAACCATAAATGTTTAGAATGCCACATGTGGAAAGAGCAAAAACATCTAGATCAATGGTTCTTAACTGCGGATGTCAGCTGACACAACTGTGGGAGGGTGCTACTGGCATCTACTGGGTAGAGGCCAGGGATGCTGCTCAACATCTGATATGGTTTATCTGTGTACCCAGCCAAATCTCATCTCTAACTGTAATCCTCATGTGTTGAGGGAGGGACCTAGTAAGAGGTGATTGCATCATGGAGACAGTTTCCCCCACACTGTTCTCCTGACAGTGAGTGAGGTCCCAGGAGATCTGGCTGTTTGATGATTATGTGGTACTTCCCCCTTCTTGCTCACTCGCTCTCTCTCCTGTTGCCTTGTGAAGCTGTGCCTTGCTCCGCCTTCACCTTCTGCCACAATTGTAAGTTTCCTGAGGCCTCCTAGTCATGCTTCCTGTTAAACCTGTGAAACTGTGAGTCAATTAAATCTCTTTTGTTTATAATTTACCCAGTCTCACGTATGTCTTTACAGCAGTGTGAGAACAGACTAATACAACATCCTACAACATGCAGATCAGACTCAGCCAACTGAGAATTATCCATCCCAAGATACCAATAGTGCTGAAATTGATAAATCCTAATCTAGATCAGTGGTCTGCACACTTTTTCTGGGGAGGTCCAGAGAGTAAATACCTCAGGCTTTGCTGCTTACAGCAAAAGAAATAGTGGGTAACTTAAACATGAATGGGTGAGTCTGTATCTCAAGAAAACCGTATTTACAAAAACAGGCAGCAGCCTGAAATTGGCTCATAGACTCTAGTTTTTCAACCCTGATCTAGATTAATGGTTTCCTAATTTTCTTTTCTTAAAATGTTGAAATGTTTCATTCATTCAAATGAAATACTGCATTAAGTCCAAGGTGTGAAGCAGATTAAAGGGTTGCTGCTTTGGTTTGAAGCAAGGGTGCATTCAAGGTGGCTCTCAGAGAAACTCCTGTAGTAGCCCCGACAAGTCTACTCACTGTATTGTTTAGAACCTTGTAATCTTACCCAAATGTCACTTCAGAATGATCGTGGCATTTCCTGCTATCAGTGGCTTCCCATTGCTTCTGGGGGGAAGTCCTTCCCCCGACCTATATGGCCTCACATGGGAGTGTAGCTCAATGGCTTCAGATCCTGACTGAGAAGCTTCCAGTTCTGACTATAACACTTACTGGCTGTGTGACTGTGGGCAAGTTACTTCACCTCTCTGAGCCTCAACTTCCTCATCTGCATACCAAGAATTATTAATAAAACCTACCTTACATGATAGTTTTGAGAATTAATTGAGATGACGGATACATAGCCTTGCACAGTATCTCATACATAATCTCAATAATTTAATATGATTGTTAAAAATTATATTTATTGGGCTCTTACATCTCTTGAAACAATGTATAAGTCAGAGCAAGTTGGTTGAGGTTCCAGGCAGAGGGAGAGGTGGCTGATAGAGGGAAACAGGCCCTAAGGAAGCCCTCTTTTGGGTTTCTACTTTGTTATTTTTTTATTTTATTTTACAGAAATGTCAATCGTGGGAGAAGGTCAGATCAGGCTCCTTTTTCCAAGCCTTTTGGACCCCAGGTGGATACAAGTATTGACAAGTTTGTCAGTTGAAAGGTTCCTTCTGTATACTGAGGGGTAACTATATATATTGACATTAGATTTTCTTAATTACAGCTGAAAACGTCCTCACTCATACATATGGTCATTAGAATATTATAGTTTGAGATCCAGTTGTCAGGGTATATAGTAACTGAGAGTTTTTGAGGCAATCTGTACTCCAATGTGAAGCACACCTAGATAGCAGTAGCAGAGTCACTAGTTAATTTCATTAGGAGTATGTCTACTTCTGCAGTTTACAATATGGGCATAGAAGAAGTCTCAGCGTGGGAGGCTGAAGATAGGAGTTTGAAGTTTGATTCCCTCCATCCCTCACCATGTGACCTTGAGCAGTTCACTGAATTGTTCTGAATCTCCGTTTCCTCCTCTGAAATAAAAGCCAAACAAAATTCACCTAAATCTCAGCACTTTGGGATGAATTATATGATAATCCTTGCTTATAAGGGACATAAATCCAATTAAAATGATTCCAGCAAGAGATGAGACAGAAATCATCTTGAGGGGCAGTCAGTGCCTATGCAAATTATTTCAAAGCCATATGGAAGGGCTGAGCTAGACTACCCAGGATTTTAAGGAAGCATATATAAGGGGTGCTTAGCCCAGTCTTGGGTGAAGGAGTATTTCCCAAATTGAATGTTAGAGAGTAAAAGTTAACCAGATGATGAGGAGTGGGAAGGTGTTGTGAAATGCAGGAAGAATATAGAGGTGAGGAATGGCATGAAGCACATACATGAATGTGCATGTTTGTGCATGTCTGCCTGTGTGCATGCCTTTGTGTGCATGGCTGTATGTGTGTGCCTGTGTTTTCATGCCTGTGTGTGCATGCCTGTGGGGAGCACAGTGAGAGGATTGGCAGGCAGGTAGCTCAATAATACCAATACATGAGGAGAAGGTGGTAGATGAGGCTGGCCTGATGAGCAGGGACCACCTCATGCAAGAGAGTTTCCATGCCAAGCTAAGACACATGAATTCAGTTTGTAATATCCCTGTTTACTGCACAAAAAGGAAGAAAAATTCCACCTTAAGCAGATTTTAAGCCAATCCAGCACATAAATGGACAAAAGCTGCTGTCGTTCTCCTCTTCTATGCTTAAGACTTGAACAATTTTCCTTCAGCTTCACTCTCCCCTTCTTTTACTCTATCCCCCTTCAGCAGGTAAGTTCCTTTTTTTATATACTTCATTGGATTTACCTTCCAAGCTACAAAATGTGTGCCTGTGGCAACAAATCAAAAACAGGTTTGCAAAGAAAAAGGCAAGTTTCTCCCGTCCTGCTCAGTCTCTGACACTCATTTACCGAAGAAATATGTGTGACCTTTCTTTATGTTTATACAACTATATAAAAACATATATAGTCATATAAGTAAACGGTTTTTCTATTTTTTTGTTTAAAAAAATGGACTATAGTAGTCTCATTACACTATGCAATTTGCCCAGGTTAAATATAATGCAACTTGCTCAGATTATAGGATGTGCCTATTGATAATTACTATAAAAGCTGTATAATATTTTATGCAATAAGAAAACCTCTCCATTAATTCAACTATCGGGGGACAATACAGTTTCTTGCTTTTCTTAGTCACTGTCAATAATACTGAAATAAACGTCCAGGTGCTAGTACCTTTATTGATTTATTTAAGTTTTTGAGGTGGAGTCTCACTCTGTCACCCAGGCTGGAGTGCAGTGGCACCGTCTCGGTTCACTGCAACTGTCACTTCCCAAGCTTCAGTGATTCTCCTGCCTCGGCATCCTCAGTAGTTGGAATTATAGGTGTGTACCATTGTGCCCAGCTAATTTTTATGTTTTTAGTAGAGATGGGGTTTCACAGTGTTGGTCTGGTCTCGAATTCCTGGCCTCTGGTGATCTGCCCACCTCAGCCTGCCAAAGTGCTGGGATGACCGGCGTGAGCCACCGCAACTGGCAGTACATTTATTTTTATCGAACAGATTTCTCAAAGTTGAATTTGTAGATGAAGGGATAGTCACATGTCTAATTTTAACAGATAGTGCCAGATTATTCTTTAAAACTAATAGCATTATATTTGAATTATAGCATTGTACCCATTTCCCAAATGAATAGTCAACTAGAAAATGTCATTTTTAATCCATCAGATTAGCAAGTGCAGTCCAGGGTGAGGAGTAAAGAATTAAGGTGTCTGAGGGTCTTGGGAGAAATAGTGAACTACCTGAATGGCAGAGCTTGTATCCTACCTGTGGTCTGGATGCTTAAGAACTGGACTAGAGAAGCTTTTTCCTTTTTTCTTTTCTTTCTTTTACTTTACTTTTTTGTTGTTGTTGTTGTTGGAGACAGTCTCCCTCAGTCACCCAGACTAGAGTGCAGTGCCTTGATCATGTGTGTGTGTGCACTTGTGTATGCATGCCTGTGGAGAGGACAGTGAGAGGGTTGCCAGGCAAGCAGCTTGATAACACCAATACATAAGGAGAAGGTGGTAGATGAGGCTGGCCCAGTGAGCAGGGACCACGTCATGCAAGGGAGTTTCCATGCCAAGCTGAGACACTGCAGCCTAGAACACCTGGGCTAAAGTGATGCTCTTGTCTCAGCCTCCTGAGTAGCTGTGATTAACAGGTGTGAGTCTTTGTGCCTGACTAGACAACCTTGTTTTAAGCATGTCACCTGACTACTCAGGAAGTCAACCCACTGTACCAGAAGAATCTCAGAGAAAAGTGGTCCTGAAACAACAATACCTCAAAGCTATTCGCTGTTTTCATTTTTTTTTTTTTTTTTTGAGAGGGAGTCTCACTCTGATGTCCAGGCAGGCTGGAGTGCAGTGGTGCAATCTCAGCTCACTGCAACCTCTGCCTCCCCGGCTCAAGCGAGTCACCTGCCTCAGCCTCCTGGCATTACAGGCGCCTGCCATCACACCCAGCTATTTTTGTATTTTTAGTTGAGACGAGGTTTCACCATGTTGGCCAGGGTGGTCTCAAACTCCCGACCTCAGATGATCTGCCCACCTCAGCCTCCCAAAGTGTGAGCCACCACAGCCAGCCCCATTTCCTGTTTTCTGTCCTCCTGCCTGTCACTGAATAAGCCATAAACTCTCCCACCTCAGATCTGCTCAAACATTTTCCACTTCCTAGGTTGCCATTCTTCTCCCAACCCAAATGGACATGTCAGTCTCTGACTCTTAGTTCAAGATGAAGCTCAGCTTCCACATTTTCTAAGAAGGCTCCAAAATGTCTCTATTATAATTAATATCTTCTTCCGCCATCTGTTTGAGCAACAATAAGAACAGCTTACATAGTTTCAGTGTCATGTACCAGGCATCGTGCTATGCACATTATATGCATTATCTTATTTTCTCTTAATGACCTAATTTAGGTAGCTGACACTGATACATGTGTTTTGAAGGTGAGGAAGCTAAGTCTCAGAAAGTTTAAGTCACTAGTCCAAGGACACACAGCTAATACATGTTGCAGCTGGGCTTTACATTCAAGCCTGCCTGACTTCAACTCCCAAATTCAGTCATTATCTAATGCTGCATTACAAAAGAAAAATTCTGTTGAGCAAGTTTCTACTTTAATGGCAAGCAGGTTGAGCCATTGCTTTGTAAATACTGCCTGCCATAGATGAATTTGTTTTCTACATTTTTAAAGCGGTCTTATCCTCCAGTGAATCTTATGAATGGAGCAAAGTTGTCAAGTTTTACAGTAAATGGCATGCAGTGTGATGCTACCAGAATTCAAGCTTTCTGCTGCTAATTTTTCACTGGGTTGCAAGCTTTAATTTAACTGTCAGACCCTGGATCTTTTGCCAGCACTAATGGAGGATTGTGGCAGTGATGGTAATTATTTCTAGACTTGGTACCTCCTTCGTTTACCTTCTGGTCTCAGATACTCAGCAGCTTCAAGCTAATTTCCTTTCTGATTTTCTTTATTAGTTTGCAAACTCCCACTGTCAACAAAACAACCCATCTGATAAAAATGTCAACATGGAGTGTTCGAAATATTAAAACTGTCAAATAAAAATTGTGTTTTTACAAGGCAGTCCAAATATGTCACACATGTGGAAACCATTTTTCAAAGACAGATTGTATAGGTCAAAGAGTTGTTGGGCTATTTTTTTTTAACCCACAAAAATGAACCCAACCATGACAGGTTCTTGTATATTGGTTTGATATCTTGAAGATCAGCTTCCAATCTACTCTGGACAAATTTGATTAAAAATACTGGCATCAAATGTCCTTTCCTCAAATGAAGACGACAGGTTTTCTCCTCTCTATTGAATTAATGGAAGAATTACCTGAAAGAGGATACTACCATTTAGCTTGCTGTTTATGTTTCATTCTGTCCCCTACTAAACAATGCAGACAGAAGATGGGGCCTGTCAACCAATCCTTATTATCAGATATGCTATTCTCTAGAAAATCTCAGAAGCCAAACACCCTGATTTAAATTGCTAGGTAGCAACTAAAGTTGTGGAATGAAACTACCACCAAAGATAACTGAAAATAGAAAGGAAAGGTTACTAACCTTGGGTAGGGCTGAGTTGCAGAAAGAGACCAAGAGTGAAACACAAATGGGTAATTTTAAGTAGGTTTTCAAGGGGGAAAACCTCCCAAATGGAACACTTTTACAAATAAACACATTTTACAGTGCTTAGTTACAGTCAAGGAGTTATTTGGGGGGGCTGCATCTTCCACTTGACCCAGTTTAAGGGAGGCTTGTGTGAACAGGTCAGAGTGTGTGTGTGTGTGTGTGTGTGTGTGTGAGAGAGAGAGAGAGAGAGAGAGAGAGTGTGTGTGTGTGTCAGAGAGAGAGAGATCAAATCCCAGTTCCTCATAATAACATAGTGGGGAGGAGTGTCAGTATAACAAAAAGCCAAGTCTGGTCTGGAAAAATACTTACGTATATACCCCCCCATATTGTTTTTATGTATATGGGAGAAAGAGAGACAAAGACAGAAAGAGAGTCAGGCAAAGAAGCATCTAATAAAGACAGAAATAGACGTGAGTCAGAAATAAAAACAGAGATACACAGAGGCCAGAGACAAACAGAAGCCAAGAAAGAGGGAAACAGAATATATTTTGAAAGACAGTTGCATATCTACATAATCAGGACTTAGTCACTATTTTGCACGTATTTTTTAAAGGTTGTAGTACAGCTGGGTGTGGTGGCTCACGCTTGTAATCCCAGCACTTTGGGAGGCCGAGGTGGGCGAATCACGAGGTCAGGAGTTAGAGACAAGCCTGACCAACATTATGAAATCCCATCTCTCCTAAAAATACAAAAAAATTAGTGATGGCATGCACCAGTAATCCCAGCCACTCAGGAGGCCAAGGCAGGAGAATCACTTGTACCCGGGAGGTGAATGTTGCAGTGAGCTGAGATCGAACCACTGCCCTCTACCCTGAGCGACAGAGTGAGACTCCATCTCAAAAAAAAAAAAAAAAAGTTGTAGTACAGCTTAGCAAGAAGAAATAAAGAACTCAGCGAGGTTACCTGGGATCACTAAGGGTTCAGTGAAATGAGCAAAAGAGATTTCCAAACTGCCCAAGAGCAGTTTCTGGAAAGATCAGAATTTCAATGCAGTGAGGTTGAAATTTCGTTGCTTTTTAAAGTTACTAGAGTCTAAAGAGTTTGAACTTATTTTTATTCTGTCCTCTCATTTTTATTGAAGAACACAGGCATGTAATATCAGCTAACAGCTAGTGAGCACTTAAGTATGAGTCCAGCATTTCTTTTAAGTACTGGTAAAGATTAATCAATTTAATTCTCATCACAATAGTATGAAGTAGGTTCTACTATTATCTTCATTTTGCACATGAGGAAACTGAGTCACAGAGGGATTAAATAATTTCCTCAAAGTTACGCAGCTGAAAGCCATGGTGCCAGTATAAGTATAATAAAACTAGAATGGGTCTCAGAGTCTGTTCTCTTGATTACTATGCTGCACTGACCCACCCCCATTATGCTATATTTTGCTTTTATGTATTTCTATATATTCCACAAAAATCAAGGGCCAAGAGAATTTTCATAGGAATAAAATGTCATGCTGGGCGTGGTGGCTCACGCGTGTGATCTCAGCACTTTGGGAGGCCCAGGTGGGCAGATCACGAGGTCAGGAGTTTGACCAGCCTGGCCAACATGGTGAAACCCTATCTCTACTAAAAATACAAAAAAGCCGGGCGTGGTGGCGGGTGCTTGTAATCCCAGCTGATCGGGAGGCTAAGGTAGGAGAACTGCTTGAACCCTTGAGGCGGAGGTTGTAGTGAGCTGAGCTGAGATTGTAACACTGCATTCCAGCCTGGGTGACAGACCAAGACACCATCTCGGGGGAGGGGGGTGGGGGGCTGGAAAATGTCATAATCAGAAAATGTCTTTTAAGCCAATGGCCTAGTCATTGCTAGGTTAAGTCATTGTAAACTGTTTTCTTTATGGCAGAACTTCTTGCTTTCTCTAAGTTAATGTGCATTGTAATTCCCAAGAGAGTAATTTGCAGCATCCTCTAACATGCTTAATTCTTTATTTTTTTTCATAGATTCCCTAATAATACAGACGCTCTTTGAGGTCTCCCCCAACTCCACGGCTCCTGAACTCTCTAGCTCTTAGTAACTATCCATAACAATAAAAAATTTCAGAAACCAATTTTTAAATCAGGAAAACATAAGCCATATTCTTTGGCTTATTTGATAACTATTTATTGAGCACCCACTTTGTATGAGGACCTTGTTGATAACAGTGAATGACACATGAAGCTCACTTTCAGGTGCTGGGAGGAGTGGTGCAGAAATAAACAGTAAACAGATACCAAATAATATCAGGGAGCTACAAGTACTGTGAAACAGAATAATGCAGAGTAAGGGGTAGAGAGTGACAGGAGTAGCTCTTTTAGCTGGGAAAGTTTGGGAAGGTGACATTTGAGGTGACAGTTCATCAGAGTTCACAATGAGATTAGGGAGTGAGCCATGTGACTACCAGGGAGGAAATGTCCAAGGCACAGGAAAGAGCAGGAACAAAGACCCCTGAGGCAGATATTTACATGCTCAGGGACCCACAAGGAAGCCACTGTGACTGGAGGGTGAACAAGGAGGAAGTGGTGAGAAAGTTTTGCAGAGAGGCCAGGAGCCAGGTGGTCATGCAGAGAGCCTTGTAGATCATAGGAAGAACTTGAGCCCTTTCTTATGATGGTCGCTTAAGTTGCACTGAAAAAAGGAAAGGAAGATTTTGGTCTACCATGCCATGAGTCTTGAGAGCCCATTTCTTCAAGGAAGATGGGTTGATAGTGTTAACCTCAAATGGTGTCTCAGGAGAGTAGCAAAAAGACTTCATCTTTAAGGCATCAGGCATCTAAGAAAAGAAAAATGTGTCAAGAGGGTACTTTGGGCAGAGCTATAGCATAGAGGCCTGGGAGGGTGGGCAAGATGGGCAGGCAGCAGTAAGATTCTGTGGACTCCAGTTCATATGCCCGGTTATCCATTAAGTGAAATGTGAGGCATGTTTATGTGTACAGTTTTGATAATGAGTTTATAAGTGCCTTCTTCTATTTAATTTTACATGTATTTGTACACACGTGTGTGTGTGTGTGTGTAGCAATACTCTGTATATATAACAGAGTATTGCTATGTTGCCCAGGCTGGTCCTGAATTCCAGGCCTCAAGCAGTCCTCCTGCCTCAGCTTCCCAAAGTCCTGTGGCTACAGGTATGAGCCACCACACCCCACCTGTAAAAATTTTTCAAACACAAAAAAAGACACTGGTTGACTCTTTCTCATCTCCCATTCACCCTGTAACCTTCTACATCGTAGCTCCCTCCCCTTCTTCATGGAAACTTCTCTTGCCAACATTACCAATGACCTCCATGTTGTCAAACCCAATGCCTACATTTTGGTCTTATTTTACTCAGTTTCTCAGCAGCGCTTGCCATAGGAAGGTGTGAAGCTCTCAGCTTCTATAACCTTTTCAGTTTTTGGAACCTCCTCGACTCTGCCTTTGCATCTCTTTGTTGCTCTTCCTCTTCTGCTTGACTCCAAAAGGTGTAATTGTTCAGGATTCAATCCTGGGTCACCTCTCGGGTCCTCCCCTTCCCTTCATTTTCCATGCCAGATACCTGATGAATCCAAAAGACCTCAGAGTCAGACTCAACCAGGCAATTGGACCGTTGTATCTGCCTGTTTACTGGCTGAAATATGAGAAGAAAATGGGCCTCTGTGGGTCTTAGGCAGGTGCCAGTGGAAAGTGGGATGACCAGAATAGCAAGGGATATTTAGCTGCTGTGTGGCTTATCTCAGCGTGATTATTAAGTTTTTAATATTTATTGCCAAACTGCCTGCAAGGATTCTGCAATATGGGCAGCTGTATTGAAAAATAAAAGCCATATTCCTGACTCTAGGCTTCAAACCATCCAGAATTACCAATGATTTCTCAGCTGGCCTTGGTGACACCAGTAAGAAAACACTAATTTTTCAATTCATAAAATTATTAATTGGAAGCAGTCATTGGATAGAGACAGCATCCCTGGACTTGGCTTTATTTTTTACTCTAAATTCAAGACACTGAGAATGTAATAAACCCACAATTTCAGTATTATTTAAAACTAATGGTTTCCCCTTTAATTATTGCAGGTTAAAGCTTCCCTCATTTATATGCATTATTTGAGAGTTTTATGTGGAACACATGAATATCAAAGAAGGCCTTTGAGCTTTTCCAAAAACACATTCCTTCTCACTGTTTAAAACAATTACAAGTTTTTGTGCAGAAAATTTTCTAGCCCTATTTTGTTAATCAAGTTTAAGGATACTTGGATTCTGCTTGTTTAAATGATAAAAATAGACAGATAGATGATAGATAGATAGATAGATAGGAAAATTAGATACACAGTTAAATAGTTATTGGTGGTAGATGGATAAAAATAGGTAGATACAAACAGATGTATTCAAACAAGAGAGAACACGTAGTAAAAGCATTTCTCTGTTAGTTTTCATAACAACTCTGTATGGAACATCCATTTTTTTCACAAACATTTCCCAAAAATACATAAATTTGTTTATGTATTTTTTAACTTTTTTTTTTTGCTTTATGTTCTGGGGTACATATGCTGGATGTGCAGTTTTGTTACATAGATATACATGTGCTATGATGGTTTGCTGCACCTATCAAAACTATCATCTAGGTTGTAAGCTCCGCATGCATTAGGTATTTGTCCTAATGCTCTCCCTCCTCTTTCCCTCCACCCACCAACAGGCCGTAGTGTGTGATGTTCCCCTCCCTGTGTCCATGTGTTCTCATTGTTCAACTCCCAATTATGAGTGAGAACATGTGGTGTTTAGTCTTCTGTTTGTGTGTTAGTTTGCTGAGGATGATGGTTTCAGGCTTCATCCACGTCCCTGCAAAAGAAGTGAACTTAATAATTTTTATTTTTTATATGGAGTTTCACTCTTGTTGCCCAGGCTGGAGTGCAGTGGCACGATCTCGGCTCACTGCAACCTCTGCCTCCTGGGTTCAAGAATTCTCCTGCCTCAGCCTCCTCAGTAGCTGGGATTACAGGTGTCCACCATCATGCCCAGCTATTTTTTT